TAGCCAAAACATAATTTTCTTTCCATCCCCCACTTGAAATTCAAAAATATCCGAAAAATCAATACCAATATTGCCAAGAGTCAAGAAGACATTGACAATACTACTCCAAGTGCCCGGGAAATATTTCTTAGCCCAAGAGTGAATAGGCTTCCTTTCACATCTATGAATACCATCAATCACTCGCCTCCAAAGAGGGTCATTTTCCGCTTTAAACCTCCATAACCATTTTGTCAGGAGGGCCCAGTTAAGCGAGGCCAAGGATCCGACCCCGAGCCCACCGAACGATTTTGGCCCTAGTACCACTTTCCAAGCGACCCAGTTGATTTTTTGTTTTTCTTCACTTCCTCCCCATAAGAACCTCCTCCTTAATTTCTCGAGATTGTTAATAATGGAAATCGGGGCTTTAAAAATGGAAAAATAAAAAGGTGGGAGACTACCCAACACAGCTTTAACCAAAGTCATGCGACCGCCAAATGATAAAGTTTTAGCTTTCCATAAAGAAAGCTTATTTTGAACACGATCAATGACGGGCTGCCAATTCCTTTTTTGGGACATGTTGGCTCCGACAGGGATAGTAGAACGATGGAATACCTTATCACTTATCTTAGGGTAAACGTTTGATTTGAATCAGAGTTCGACATTGGTTTTGGAAAACACTCTTTGCTATTTAGTTCAAGGTCTGTACTTGCAATTGTAGTTACAGACTTATCCAAGTGGGAGACTATTGGATTAAGGTGTCTAAGCCAATAACTAAATTGACATATTCTTGTAATTAGAAGCAAAGTCCTTTTGGGGTTGCCCTCATGACCAGAAATAACTAGAAATGATATTAAGAGAGAGATGAATAACTTATTAGATTATTATATGATTAATAAACTAATTGGAAATTATGGGAAAATGATTTGTTAATATATTATGTGATTAATATATTAATTGGAAATATACTGTTGATTTGTTAATTTATTATGTGATTAATAAATTAATATGAGATTAATTGTTAAATAATTGATTTGTTAATTTATATGATTAATAAATTAATATGAAATCAATTAGAGCTGATTAATTATTAATCAGAATTAATCTGGAATTAATTAATGATTGATTGGAATTAATTAAAGGTGCAAGGGGTGAATTGTAATTGTTCAATAGTTGAACAAAAGAAGCAATTCTAGAACCCTCCATGGTATGAACGGTTTTGGAGGGTTTCCTAGGGTTTCTGGAAGTCTCGTGGTTGCATAAAAGGAAATGATATGAATTAAGATTAAATCTATTATTTAATTAATTCAAATCTTGCTTTGCCTGCAAGTTACCTAAACTATAAATAAGACTCCTTGGCTTGTATATTTCTCTCATGGCATTACCAATAAGCATAGGAATGAAATTTCCCTTCATATCTCCTCTCTCCTCCTCATTCTAGGGTTTCTGGTTTTGAATGTGAGTCATTAGAGGCATCATCCTTTTGGTTCTTTCTTTCCAAGGAACTTTAAGAGAATTTGATTTGATTTGATTATTTGCTATAATAATTAAAAGGTATGTAACCCTAATCTTTATGTTAATTTCGATTTTCATAGCCACTCTCTAGGGTTTCTTGATGTTCATAGGTTATTGCGATAAAAAGAGTAAACATATATCCTTTCCAGGTTGCATGTGAACTTAAGAGTTTAAGTGTTTTTCCGCAACATGATTTTTTTTATAACCTGGAAAACCCAACAACTTCATCATCATAAAGCCCTTCTCTGTTGAAAGCGGCTGATAAGGTGTTCATCATCTCTTGTGCAGTTGAGCATCTTTGAACCAATCGGTAGAAATGATATGAAAGAGAGATTCCAATGGCAATTCTCGCCTTTACGTTAAGATTTAAAACTCTTTTCTCTTCCTTGTTGTACCCAAGGACAAACTTCTGCTTCAGACCACTGAAAGATGCGTTTTTGTTGGAAAATCGATGCATAGAGGCGATAGGACCTTTGTTAATGACATCAAGCATGTCATAGTCCATGATCTCGAGAGCATCAATAGCCTTTGATTTCCATGCAACGAAGTTTTGTTCATCGAAAGGAGGGATCTTGCTAACATCATATGACTTAGGATTATAGGAGGAAGACATGGTAACTTGAATGTATCGTAAACTTGCTCTGATACCAACTGAAGGTTTGTATCGATCCGATACAATCAAGTATAAACAATAAAGAAGAAACAAACAACAAAGAACAAGATGGTCACAAAGATACTTTCACTAAGAAAGAGGGTTCTCACAAAGAGAACGAGGTCACAAAGACGACATCAAGCTCTAGTAGGGTTTAACCCTAATAGTATAATATATATGATTACAGAAAATGAAGATCCCACTATTTTGGGGAAGTAACTAATCTATGTAAAGGTCTGATCCTAATCACTAAGATTACATATCAGACATCTATTCTATATATACAACGTATAACTGCCTAATATATATATCATCACCAAGATCATTGAGTTCACACTGACACTGATCAATCAGATGTTGGTGCTGCTGGTCAGTATGTAGTATTTGACTCATCAAATCATAAGTTGTGACCTTATTATTATATATATATATATATATATATATACACACACACACACACACACAACTAGAGAGAGAGAGAGAGAGAGAGAGAGAGAGAAAGAGAGAAATGAACATACCTTACAAGTTACAACCTTATATAAACTTAAGTACTTAACCGAAATAATCTAAGTATTGATAGTATATTCAATAAACATATTACTTAAGAAAAAGTATTACCTTATGTCGACTTCTAAAAAGGAGTTGGAGATGGAAATAATACGTATTTTTGGAAGGAAAGATTGATTGGGAATGAGACTTTAATGGTTACTTTTCCCTTATTATATCGGTTGGAACAAGAACTAGACTGATATATTTCCAATAGAAAGCACAATGGGCTTTGGAGGTGGAACTTGAGGTGAGATCTGAGAAGTGGTACTGAATTGGCTCAACTCTCAGGTTTGTTGGAGGTGTTAGATATGGTTGTGTTTAGCTCTCAGAAAGAGATATATGGATTTTGGATCTCTCAAGTTCACAATACTTTGATGATTGTGTTTAACCCTCGGGGAGATAGATAGATTTATGATTAAAGAAGCGAGATATATTATTAATGACAATGTTTTCATTGGTAGTTATGCTAGTACAAGATGGAATAGATTTGTGCTAAGAAAAGTAAATATTTTGTTGTAGAGACTTTTGATGAATCGTCTTCCTACAAAGGACAACCTGGGTGGAGATATAGGTGTCGATCTTCAGTCGACTTCATGCCTTATTTATGACAATCATTTGGAGGGAGTGGATCATGTTTTTCTAAAATACGAAGTAGGGAAACAAGTTTTGGGGATAGTAATTTGGTGGTGTGGCATGTTTATTCCTTTTGTTGATCGAGTTCAAGACTTTATTTTGTGGTTAGAAAATCTTTAATTATCTAACCCAATGGTATCAGGTGGTGCCCTCCTTCCTTGAGGTCGAGGGTTCAAGTCTCGTGATAGACATAAGTGGAATTATGTGTTCGTTTAGAAGTAGATTATAATATTTGTATTTGTCGGTTAAAAAAAAATCTAATCACAAACGCATGAGGTTGGGCACTATTATTGTCTCTACATCGTGGATCATATGAAAATTCAGAAATGATTTTGTTTTTGCTACTACCAAACTGAAAAAGTATGTAATGAATCTTTGATACTATAGCAATGATTTTGTTTACGTGGTTCGAGCGTAGAAACACTATAATTATGATTGATTTGATTAATTGAGTCTAAAACCCAATCATTAATATTCATTTGTAATTGCTTTTTTTTCATTAATTTTAACTTCTTGCTAGGTTAATATATTCAAAAAGTTCAAGAAAATCCCACCCAAATATTTTAGAGCTACAGCCTCATCCCACGCAAAAATATTATATTATAACTAGATTGCTAACCCCCGCTTCGCGGGGGGCAGAGCGGGTGGCAGAGGGACCTGATGTCGGCATATGATCTCGGTTAGAAGTTTTGGTCAGAAAATTTCGTATGTATTTTCACATATAAGGAATCCGTTTATAGAATAGATAAATATATTAGGGGATAAGCATCAAACGTTATCATTCATTACTGGATTGTTATAGGATATTCGATTACAAAACTGTCGATCCATTAAAGGATGACTATAGAACATTTGATTACAAAAGTGTTGGACTGGTATTTGTCGTCATGGTGCTTCATGGTCTCGAATGATCTTCCTGCAGATGTCTGTTGCTGAACTCATGTTGTCTTGCATCGTTTCGAACATGTCCAGCATGATGACGGTGTCTTGGTCGAGGTCTTTGATGAAGGTGTCCGTGATGACAATGTGGGTGTACGGCATGTCGACCGGTGCTTCTTTTATCATAGTTGCCCTTGTCTCGTATGTGCTTTGAACGATTGCCAGTGATTCCTTCATTGTCTGGAGTTGGTCTTGAAGTTTCTGCATGATCGCTTCCATGTTGTATGTTTGGTGTTTGGTGGAGAAGTCGATATCTTTGGTGTATGATTTTATAGGAGATTATTGTGGTTGTTGGATTGTATTTATTAGAGGCAGTGAATTAGGGTGGCTGTGACCTTTTTTTCCTTTATTTGATAGATGTGATTGTTGGGTTTGGGTGTGGTATTAAATGGGTAATATCTGGGGAAATCTTTGACTACAAGAGGTATATTTGTTTTGGAAAATGGGATAATATAAGAATCGAAATTAATAGCTGGCTTGTCTTCAATATGCTTTGTAGCATGTATATCTATTTGAATACACTACTTTTAACCCTATGATATCTATTTTCATTGATGTAGTTTGTAAATTGTTAATTGTTGTTGTATATAAATTTATTTAATTGTATATGTGGTGATTCATATTAATATAGAGTAGGATAAGTATGTCGCTTATATTAGTGTGATATTAAATATGACATTGTTATGTAAGTATCATTTGTATAGGTTGTTTTTTGTGAAATTTTGGAAAAGTGGAAGCATGCAAACGGTGTCTGTTTATTATTGTTTATATTACATATGATAGTTGTTTAGCATGCCTGTTACAAAAGATAAACATATTGTCCAAAACAAAAGTTGGATTTCTTAGTGCTGTTTGATGATATCTGCTATTTTGTGGTTCGTTTTTGATTTTTTGGTGGTGGTGGCCCTGTGATAGGAGAAATGAAAAGGTATTAGTATTTGTTTTGGTATTTTGTTGTTTATTTTTTATTTCAGTACATCAACTTTTACCTGGTGGAGTGAAGGTGAGAGTGCGTGCCACAGGGCGAGGAGGTCTGCTTGGCTCTGGTGTTCCATCATCTGGTCGCATTCTTGTCATCCGCGGTACGGCTGGTGTTGTTGGGATAGGTGTCTCTGATGGCGTTGTTGATTCTTGGATGTCAATTATTATGAAACAGATGTTGTCGGTTGTTGATGTCCTAAGCATGTGGATACACATTGTTTTTGTTTGTTCTTTTTATTAGTGATGATGGAAGGGAGGCTGTTTCTGCTTGTGAGCGGGTTGTCAGATATAAACTTTTGAAGTGATGATTTTAACAGCTTCCGAGACGCTGTTTCGGATACAACCGCAGGTATAGTGTCCGTAGTGTCGGTAATGGTGACTGTGAATTTGCATCTATTGATATAAAGAACTTGTAAGCAGTATAGTTGGTGAATAATGGTTTTCTGTATGCTTGAGAAGATACTTACGTGTAGGTTGGGTTTTCAATGAGTCCATGTCCACTGCAATACCTGAAAATGGGATCTTTACAGATTGGACATGTTGTTTGGTACCAGCTGTTTTGAAAGTGAAATTCCTTGATTGAAGCTTCTACTATGAATGTTTTATCCTATAGATAAAAAGCAAATAGTTGTCAGAGTGGGAAAGAGATTGTATTTGTATATACTTATATTATTCATATTGTGTTACCAGTAGATCAGATCTGTTTTTCAGTTTCATGTTGTATAGGGTTGAGGGAGTTCGTGATAGTGCTGGTATCGGCCTTGAGGGTCCTGTGAATCTGAAACCATGTTCTTGTTGGTATAGAATTGAAATAATATGGATTCTACCATATTTGTGTAATTTATGTGACTTACAGAGTTATGAGTGATGTTGTCTCCGGTATATCTGGATTGACATAGATATGTGTAGCATGTGATGAGTCGTGCCGTAATGCTCCTACATAGAACGTATTTGGTGATTAAGAATATTAGAGGATATGATGTATATATATATATATATATATATATATATATATATATATATATATATATATATATATGGAGCCATACAGAGGAGTGTACCATTGGATGTTGATGGTTTTAGGTTTGTTACTGCAACAACCGTTGTTGTAGATGGGTGATCTAGGGAGGCACGGTTGAATTTTTGTGGATTGGTTATTCATTCTTTCCATAGATTGATTGCAAGTTCACTGCCACTAATGGAATTTGAATTGTTTTTGGTGTTAGGCGGTGATGATAGAATTTATGAGTGTAGTTTCATAATTAGTATGTATACCTTTCATCAGTTAGTATAAGCAACACAAATGGTTCTCTATTTGCTTTCGTGCAATCTCTTATCTTTGATAGAACGCCAATGAAGTCTGTTTAGAAGTAAGTGGAAGTATGTAACAAAACCAAATATGAACAATCACTTTACCTCGAAATTGTTCATATTTGTCAATTCACAGTTTCTGCCCTTTTTGTTCCTTGCCTCAAAAGAACAGCAGGGGTATATTTGTCAAGTTTGAAATTAAAAAAAAAAAAAACCAACCAAATATGAACAATCACTTTGAATAATATAAAACATTTATCTCCAGATTGTTCATATTGGTTATTTCCCACCTTCAATTTTTTTTTTATTTTTTTTTTTTTTTTGTTTTTTTGTTTAATTTCAAAGCTAACAAATATACGTCTGTTGATGTTTGGAGCCAAATAAGAAAAAGGCCAAAAACTATGAAATGACCAATAAGAACAATTTTGGGTTAAATTTTTTATATCATGGATACTTATTATGAGAAATACTGTTTTGCTTTAGAAAAGTTAGAATTCTGTATTTCAATAATGGGCCTGGATTATTGCCTTTAAGATTTGGGATGAAATGAATAAATTTTTTTTTGTCAGATGTACAAAAGTGATTCCCATGGTATTTTGTAGAAATTATAAGTAATACAAATTTACATTTCAGTTATATCGAGGTTTTTAATAAATACCTGGATAGTATGGTGGTGTTTCTCCGAGTTGTATCAGATTTAACTTTGATACGAAGCGAAACCAACTTTTTGGAACTGTTATTGTGTCTGGAATTGGTTGTATGATGGACTTGAGACCAACATCAATATAGAACTCATTTTCAAGAACTTTTTGATACTTGTCTAACTGAGGACAGCTATAATCTGATATGATGTAACATTCTGAAACATTGAAAACAGATTCAATGTAGCTCTTATTTGTTCACTGTCCAAGAATTTGAATTGCATCTCCCTGTAGAAACAGATTATTATAACATTAGATTGAATGGTATTAGATGTGTTTTTATTGTTATAGAATTGTATCGTGTGGTAATCATACATGTTTTTTAAGCAACAAAGCGGTTTGGTTTGTCAATATTAAAGAGTGATAATTAAGAATTTTCTTCATACAAATTTCAAATTTGTTGAAAATTTTAAATCCAAAACCTCTTTTCCTTATATTTTTAATAAATAATAATTTTCTTGATAGACCTTTCATTTGCTGAAAAATTGCAATTTGAAACCTGTTTTTAGTGTAATATATTTTGGTGGTAACTTACAAATCTGTCAACAGCCAGGTACCACGTCTCATATTGGCGGACATCGTGTTTCCATTTGCGTAGTATTCTAACTTGTAAGGGGCCTCCGACACCCTCAGCTTTGAGTTCTGAGATACTCGTCATTACTTGTTTGTGTTTTCTATTATAAAGAAATGTGCGGAGGTAAGCAAGATATTTGGATGAAAAAAAAAATATTGTATAAACATCTAAAAACTGTTCAAACATTGAAGAACATATGAATAAAATGAAAAGTAGTAACGGTGATGAAGGGTATAACAGGCAGTGATATTGTAGACCTCGGTTGAAGTCACTCTGCGTAGTAAATCTTTGAAGACAACATTTTTTGTTTCGTTGGTTTTAGTCGTGTCACTGCTGTTTATTAGTATCTTTATGGAATCTGGAGATGTTGCTCGGGAGAGGGCAACATAGAGCTGTCCATGTACAAAGACAGGCTGTGACAAATATATTCCAATCTTACGTAGTGATTGTCCTTGACTCTTGTTGATAGTCATTGCGTAACAGACTTTCAGTGGAAACTGTTTTCGTGAGAAGATGAATGGCAGATCTGCTGACTTATGTATGAACTTTATGCGTGGTATGTATACACGTTTTCCAATCGAAGTGCCTGTTATGATTGTCGCTTCAATAACAGTTGGTAACAATTGTGAAACAATCATACGGGTACCATTGCATAAGCCTTCCCTCTGATTTATGTTTCTTAACAGCATTATTGGACAGTCTACCTTAAGTAGAAGCTCGTGTGGTGGTATTCCTGGAAAGGTTAGGTGGTTCAGGTATTCTATTGGATAGAGGCCTTCCAAGTCCGATGTGTGTTTCCCATTCGGCTGAATGGTGTCCGTGCTATTGTATATCCTGCCACCTGTTGTCACCATTTTCAAAACATGACCGTTTATCTCATCAGCTGAATCATTTGTGGGACAAACTATCGCTCTTGCTGAAAGCAGTGTGGCAGTCGGTTCATTAAGTGCACCATCCCCATACACAAAATCAATTAAGGTTTGTAGGGAATTGGGAGAAGGTGATATTAGGAGTGAAGATGGAATTTGTATCCAACTTGAGTCCTGTGGGTCATCTTTGTCAGGCACACCTATATGTCCATTACCAATAGCTAGCAGCCATGTGGCAAAGTCTGATAAAGTCATTCAGGCGTGGGGTATTGTGTTAGAGGACTCTAGTCTCATGTTCGTATGTAAAAAGTGAATTATAAAATATGTCCATAAATATGAACTTGGTAGAGTTAGTGCTATAATTCCAGAACGTGTACTTTTTGGTAGAACAGGAAGAGTTTGGCGGAAATCACCACCAAGAAGCACTGATATGCCTCCAAACGGTTTTTCATCGCAGTCTAGCACATCTCTAAGTGAACGGTCCAAAAATTCAAAACACCTTCTGTCACTCATTGGTGCCTCATCCCAGATAATGAGTGTTGTATGTTGCATAAGATCTCCAAGGAAGGTACGCTTTTTTATATCACACGACTTTTTGTTGTTTAAATCAATAGGTATTTTGAACCTTGAGTGTGCAGTTGTCCAGAGGGTAACAAAAGTGATGCGATTCCAGATGCAACAACAGCCAAAGCGATTTTGCCTATTGATCTCAGATACGAAAGAATAGTCGTCCATAAGAATGTTTTACCAGTACCACCGTGTCCATAAACAAACATTAATATTTGCATTTCATTCTCTATGGAAGTAATAACTCTGTCATAGACTGATCGTTGGTCGTTGTTCAGCTTTGGTAATTGATCATTGTGTTGTTTCAGTAGTGCTTCCCTGTCATAACTCATTTCTTCCAATAGCAGTCGATTTTGTAAAACACCAATCACATTCACTGACGGAACTGGAAGACCAAAATCTGCCATTGATTTAGATGGGACAGCGGAACGGAGCGTGTCATCTAAATCATGAAGTAGTTGCTGTTCAACAATTTCAGCAGCAGAGGTAATTGTCTTATCTGGTACTTCGACTCTAAGGGTATGTAAGTAGTCATCTTTCATCCTATCGCATGCAGTATTCCACAACAAAAGTGGATTTCTAACCTCACAGAACAGCAGTAGATGACAGAAAAGTGATCGTAGCTGTGATGCATGTGCCCATGTCGAAGCTTCTGTGAAACATGTCAACCACTCGATATCATCACCTATTAATCTAAGTGCATTACAGGCCGCCCTGAAAGTTGGATAGACAGTACCAGCAACAGTACGTAAATCCTCAAACGATGTACATCCTTTTTGGTGACATAGTAACATCCGTAAATAGAATAACTCACCGGAAGTCGGATGTACAAATACAAGGCGGCCTACCGCTTTTGATGATTCGTAAACCCTACGACCCCAACACTTACTTGACTTATCCCATTTGTAATTTTTTGGATAGTCCAGATATGTCAAATCATGGCCTTCAGGGTCCGCTGAATTGCTTTTGAACCACCCAAGCAGGGTAGTAATGCTGGCATATGGATTAGATAATACTTCGGGTATTGACCTGTCTCCATTGAACACCAATTGTTGCATATTTTCCTCATGAACGGTTAGAATCTGAACAGGTGGATGCCGATGATGTATGTGGAAGTCCAATATCCGCCATGCCGCCTCATGTGGACATATATACCGCCCATCCAAAAAATTTTGGACCTCATTTATAGGACGGTAATCTTCATTTCCAGTTCTGTGATGATTACCAGTATGCACTGAACTGGGTGATGCATCAGAAGATCCCTCCTTTTGGATAGTGTATCTGACACGATCTGCACCTTTGGAAATATATTTAAATAGGTACTTGATCATCATGCTCCAACCACAATACTCAACATTTATATGTGCACAGAATCGTGAGCAAAGCCTTTTATTATAGGGCACAACATATCCGTTGTCAACAATCTGTCCATATTCAGTAGTGTGGCGTATAGTTGACGTACGTTTGTAACGTACATATCCATCTGTGTCAAAAAACGTAGCATCAAGAAACGGTTTAGGGAAGTGTTTGCTGCATTTGCCTTCTTTCATACATGGAGCTTTTTGGTTAAGTGGTCCACATGGACCATGGATCATGCAGGTTGTTATCGTATCGTATAGTTTTGGCTCCTTAATTGGATCTGGCAACTCAGCTGTGATATACTTGTCAACATCACTTCCAATTTTTATACGGTTGGCAGCAGATACCCAGAGTAACGTATGACAATGGAGAAGACCCCTTTTTTGGAACTCAATGGTGTACAGTCTGCAATAATGTACAGATATGTAAATCATAAACCAACGACAGTGTATAACGGGAAGTAGAAACAGCAACATAGAAGACAACACTATAACAAAGAAATTGTAATTTCATATTGTTTAGAACACACAAAAAAAAATTAAAAAAATTAATATATATATATATATATATATAAATTAAATAAATAAATAATAAAAACGATATGTGCAGCGGCAAATTAAAGTTTTTATGAAAGGGAGACTAAAAAAACTCAAGACACAGGTAGAAATGAAACGGAAAAGTGGACAGTCATCAGCTTTAAATGTATGAACTCACGAAAATAAGTATGAAGAACATACGAATGTTAATATATGCAGATTGTAAAATCTATATACAGAAACAGAAATGGTACTAAATTAGGAATTTTACATGGTTTATATAACATATGGATTGAATATGTAGGAAGTGATAAAAGGTTGACAATAAGAAAGATATGAATGTAGCGATAGGAGCAGGAAACTATCTATCCAATGGTAATTTGGAAAAAACGTATACAAAGTGAAGATGGTACACGTAAGGGTAGAAATGATACCATATGTACACATACATAGCTTTGAAAATATGTATGAACCTGAGAAGCAGACAATGAATTAAGAAATTTACATAGTCTATGTCACACATGGAATGAACATGTAAGAAGTTAAAAAAAGTGAAGAATAAGAAATAGATACATACAGTGGCAGGAGCACCAACGTATGAATGCAGCGGTAATTTTCGAACAACATATAGAAAACAAAAATAATTAAGAAAATACAACTTCCACTATAGCATGGTCCCGTCATATAACAATAATTAAAAATTCAATTAAATATTTCTTTATGATAAATTTTTTTGATAAATAACCAATAAGATTCCTGAAAATAGAGCCAACATTTAATCCAATGACGATGCGTATACAGAAACAGAAACAAATACATATCACAACAAAGTGACAACATAATGAACTTATCAATACAGGGGTAATGTTTGAAGAACATATCAGATAGCGAAGGGCTGCATATAAGACTAAAAGCAGCAACATATCTATGAAAGGGTAATTTGCGGAGAACAGATAGAAAATGAAAGTAATCAATAAAACCAAAACTCGACCACAACTGGAAATAGAACCAAAAGTGAGCAGAAACGGTAACACATAGAACAGGTGTAAGACAGAAATCATAAATAGAAAATGAAGAGAATCTATAAAAAGCAGTGAAGTCGATAGGAAGGTGCATATGTTATAAAAGGTGAACAAAACTTGATTTGAAGGAATTAAATTAGCATACATGTACAATGACACAATTGAAAACATTAGAAACATCTAATTCGATAGATCCATATATATAAGAATTTGGAAGAAACACAGAGAATATAATATATACAATGAAAGACAAACATCCACAAAACATACAATCAACAAAAATCAACTGCTTTGACAGCAAGATACATAGCATATTAAATAATAACAATATATTAAAAAAAAACGAAAAAATTAATAATAATAATAATAATAATAATAATAATAATAATAATAATAATAATAATAATAATAATAATTCAGTTATATTTACCTCCAGGGCACAAAAGAACAGGTGTAAGACAGAAACCATAAATAGAAAATGAAGAGAATCTATAAAAAGCAATGAAGTCAATAGGAAGGTGCATATGTTATAAAAGGTGAAGTAAACTTTATTTGAAGGAATTGAATTAGCATACATGTACAATGACACAATTGAAAATAGTAGAAACATCTAATTTGATAGATCCATATATATAACAATTTGGAAGAAACACAGAGAATATAATATATACAATGAAAGACAAACATCCACAAAACATACAATCAACAAAAATCAACTGATTTGACAGCAA